AAACGTGTGAGGGGTGTGCCGAATTGGGTGGTGGGGGGGCATGCGACCCTGCCACTGGGGCCTTCGGTGGAGCTCCCTATGGGGCCACGAAACGTGTGAGGGGTGTGCCGAAATGGGTGGTGGGGAGGCATGCGACCCTGCCACTGGGGCCTTCGGTGGAGCTCCCTATGGGGCCACGAAGCGTGTGAGGGGTGTGCCGAAATTGGTGGTGGGGAGGCATGCGGACCCTGCCACTGGGGCCTTCGGTGGAGCTCCCTATGGGGCCACGAAGCGTGTGAGGGGTGTGCCGAAATCGGTGGTGATGATGATGATGATGATGATGATGATGATGATGATGATGATGATGATGATGATGATTATGATGATGATGATGATGATGATGATGATGATGATGATGATGATGATGATGATGATGATGATGATGATGGAGGAGGGAGGGGGGGGGAGGAGGAGGAGGTGAGGAACGCGGGGCGCCGTCTCTTCAAAACGAGGACCCAACACCACAGGATGGTTGGGAAAAACGGCACGAATATGAACTTTTGGCGCTCCGCGCAGATCTCTTGGATCTGCGCTGGACCCCCTCCCTGGCGCGCGGAGCGTGCCAGGGACGCCGCCCGGGGGGGGGGGGGGCCCAGCGCGGATCCAAGAAATCCGCGCGGAGCGCCACAAGTATCCGCTTATGCTTGTGGATGCCACGCACGACAATGGACACCCTAACAGTCCTATCATTGAAAGTAAACCGTGTTTGAAATGTCGGAAACATGTTCCAAACATGTGTTCAACATGTTTTTACATGTTTAAGCATGTTTGAAACATGTTTTAGACATCTGGGAACTATTTGGCAACATGCTTTCTCTCCATTGATCGTCCTCCACAAGCTCATGCCGTCCTTCCTCTGCACATGAGGGGGGCCACGAGACCGCGTCGGCGGACCGTTTCGCCGGACCCGCTCCGCCAACAACGCTTCGCCAGCGGGTCCTGTGGCCGGAGACCGCTTCGCCGGGGACAGCTCCACCGGCGACCCGCTGGCGGACCGCTTCGCCGGCGGACCGCTCCGCCGAGGACTCCTCTGCCAGAGGAGCCCGGTGCGCCCACGGGCGGGCGCGGAGGGGGCGCAGGCCGCTTCGCCGGTGGGCGATGTCGCGTCGCTGGCGGGCGAGCCCGCCCGCAGGAAGAAAAAGAGGCGGAGCAGGAGGGCAGGGAGGAGGAGGAGGAGGAGGAGGAGGAGGAGGAGAAGCGGGAGCAGGGGGAGAGCGGGAGCAGGGGGAGGAGGAGGAGGAGGAGGAGGAGGAGGAGGAGGAGGAGGAGGAGGAGGAGGAGGACCAGAGTAAACCCAAGAGCCATCAACGATGTTGGAAAAACCCACCCTCCAAGCTCTCCCTTCATATGCCTCTACAACGGCTCATGTCAATTGAAGGAACTGGTCGTTGGAAGGCAACCGTGTGAAGACCCTGAAGCATGCCAAATCATTATTCTCGGGATTCAAACGCCACGGATCAACCTGACTATTGCGTGTTGACGATCCTGAACTGTGCTAGAACGCCATTCCTGGGACTTCAACACAATGAACAAACTGAACTGTTGCGCCCGCGTAATCCTGAATCCTTTCAAAACACCATGTCTGGTACGTTGATGGTGGGGATCCGCGAAACCCTTCCCAATTTTGTATACGAATGTACGCGACGCTGAAGGCGAGAGCCACATGTTGAAAAAGAGCCGCCCTCGATCCGTGAAACTCTTGCATACTTTGAAAACGGAGGCACGCCGCGCTAAGGCGAAAGCCACATTTTGAAAACGACCCGCCCTCAATCCGCGAAGCGCTTGCAATTCGTTGTAAACGAATGTGCGCCGCGTTAAGGCGAGAGCCACATTTTGAAAAACACCCGCCCCCGTGAAGCGCTTGCAATTTGTTTAAACGCCGCGTTAAGGCGAGAGCCACATTTTGAAAACCAACCGCCCTCAATCCGTGAAGCTCGTGCATTTTGTTTTAACGAATGTGCGTCACGCTAAGGAAAGAGCCACGTCTTGAAGACGACCCGTCCTCCATCTGTGAATCTCTTGCCAATTCTGAAGCTTCAGAATCATCAATGGTCAATACTTCTCAGGCGAAACGCCCGACGAGGTTACTTATAAGGAGAAGGAACGGAGGAGGAGGAGGAGGCGGAGGAGGAGGCGGAGGAGGAGGCGGAGGAGAAGGAGCATGGCAAGAAGACCCTCAAGGGCGGGCGGGACGGGCAGGGGGGACGGGCGAGGGCGGGACCCTGAAGCGGGCGGGGTTTGGGAGGCACGCGACGGGGTGCGGACCCTTCCGGGCGGGCGGGCCCTAACAGGCGGGAGGGGGCAGTCGCGCGGGCGGACCCGAAGAAGAGCTGCTGTGACGAGAAGGCGCGCGGCCTTTCTTGCAAGCGAGCCCTGGTGGGCGGGCGGGCGGAGCATCCAAGCGTGTGGGTTTTCACGCAGATGAGCCAGCAGACCCTCACAAGGAGGACGGCCGCGACAGCGACGGCGGAGACGAAAGATGGCGCCGACGCCGACCGACGACGACGACGAAGACGACGACGAGGACGACGACGACGAGGACGACGACGACGACGACGAGGACGACGAGGACGACAGCGACGAAGACGACGACGAAGACGACGACGACGACGACGACGACAACCATGACGACGACGCCGAACGACGACGACGACGCCGTACGAAGACGACGACGACGACGACGACGACGAAAAGCACTCCGAACGAAGAGCGACGAACGACGAACCACAAACGACGGGGTTCGCCGAAACTTGACGCTGACAAACCAGCACGTCGGCGAAACTGTCCGGACAAAACGGGAGACGGCCTGGACGAAGCAGTTCTCGGCGAATCGTTTGTGCCCCTGCGCCTAGGAAGGGGGCTGACGGCAGAGGGCGAAGCCCTTGGATCACGGAGGGGGGTTTATAGAATAGTCGCACGAAGCTCCACCGAGCGACTGAAGAAGAGAATCGAGGCTATCACTCTCAAGTGTAACGCCGTCATCGCTTCCCGAGACGTCGAAGCTCACGTTCCTCGCCGCTTGACAGTCCAGAGCCTGCAAGCACACCTCGGCCAAGTCAGCCCGTGGCAGCCGACGAGGAGTTCTCTCCCGGAGCTTATCGTCCACGCCAACGGCCACTCGTGTAACCCCGCCTGCATCATTAGACAATCCACCGGCGTGGACGATCGTGAAATCCATGTCGCTATCCTTGCAAATATCGATCAAATACATCTCCGCCTTGCGCTTCCACATGACGATCTTGTCTCCATCGCCGTCGCCCATTGTATTCAGAAAGCCTTCGGGGTCTGTACCGGTCATCGTGCCCACAAGGACAACGTGCTTAACACCTGCCTCCTTGCACAAATCGAACTGGTTCTTCTGGCCTTCCCAGTCAACTTGCTCAGGTTTGCCGTTGTTTTTCCAGCTGAACCTCAACCTCCCCTTGCGGCGGAACAGCTTGGCAAGCATGAACGGGATCAAAGACCACGTCTTCAACACTGGGACAGCGGAGGTCACAACCACCACGGCCACTGCGCCAACGAAAGCTTTCTGGATGGTTTCCTTGGATGTGATATCCCCGACAATCACCTTGGAGTCTGGAAGCATTCCATCCAATGTAGACAACAGCTTCGCCTTGCTCTTCTCGCTGTGGACGAGAGGCCTGACGTCGAAGCGGCCCGTAGAGACGAGTTTCTGCACGACCAGCTTCCCTGTCTGCCCGCCAGCGCCAGTCACGACCACCCTTGGGGAAACCAAAAGGTACCGATACCACCCTCTCGGGGTGCGTCCCGATCAGAATCTCGAGGCGAGCCCAGCTGTGGCGACGAGGGCCTCCCACGAGGCCAAAAAAGCGGAGACGAGGGAAGGTCGGGAAACAAAGCATGACATGAGCAGGACCTTTGGAAGGTCCGCGCGAACATCCTGGAACGGCGCTGGACCCCCCCTCCCGGAGCGCGCCGGGGGCGGCGCCAGAGGCGCTGCCAGGGGGCCCCTCCTCCTCCTCCTCCCTCTCCTCCTCCCTCCCTCCCTCCCTCCCTGCCAGAGGCACAGCCGCAGCCACAGCCCTCGGCGCGAAGCGCCAGATGGCTTCATGCTGTGCGGCGGCCGCGCCGGCTCCACCGAGGGCAGCGAAGGAGCGACGTCGACGCTGGGGTGATGTGTCACGGCGGGCGGGCCACGGGGAGCGAGAGGGCTGCCACTGAGCCGTCTCAAGGCCCGCCTGCGACTGGCGTTGCGCCAGTCAGGCCGACTGACACGAGCGGCGACCTTGTTGACCGAACCGAGGGTCGATCCGTGAGGGGTGGGGGCCATAGTGGGCGCTCCGAAAGGAACTCGCGAAGCCCCCGCCCCACAGCGGCGCTCGCCGAGGTAAGGTCGACGAGTGCTGCCGCACCATCACCTCGGATGGAGTCCGAGGCCAAGCAGCAGCCATGCTGCCCAATTCCAGATTGCACTGAGCTAGTCAGGCTACTGTGTCAGCCCTGGCTATCTTGCTCTCTCACTCCCGTCTTTCTTGGGCCAAATCAATTGCCCGAACATTGCCTCTTTCATCATTACCTTCATAGTAGTACCTGCCGCTTTTTTGAGACCCACGGAGCTTCTCCCCCCCCCCGACAGTGAGCAGGTTGTCAGGATGGAGGTACATACGGACGAGTCTGGTGGAACCAAACAACGGCACTTGGGTGGACCACCGTCTTGGGCATGGTGCGTATTTTCAGTCACGACGACAGGCAGGTACATCTGTGAAGGGTACTTGTGTGGTGTCGATCCCGATCTCTCCACCTCTGTTGCGAGCCCGTCTGGAGCTGCAGAATTTCAAGCTCCACTGTGGCTGGTGCTATGGCTATTGCAAGCTCCTCCTCGTTTTCGGGCCCAACCCGTGGTGGTATACACAGATAACATGCTGGTGGTTTCCGCTGCCGACGGGGGAACGAGGTATGTGTCGTGCGGTGATTTCCCATGGCTTTTTGACGGAGCCCTCAAGTTATTACGTCAGTTTACGAAGCTGAGCTGGAATCACGTTCACGGCCACAATGCCGATCCGCTGAATGAGCTTGCAGATACCATAGCACGACTGGCCTCCATGGGTATTGCGCCGACAGTAGAGCCTGACTTTCAACCGTGGTCAGTTTTGCTCACGTCAGCCTCTCTTGTACCATGGATGTGGATGTCTGCCAGCACCAACGTCGGTCATGGGGAGTATCCGAATGTTGGCGCATGCGAAATGCCCTCCATCAACCCTCCCGAGCTAGATCTCAGAACTGCCTTCTTGCCACCAGCTGGACGCGGCTCGGAAAACTCGTCTGTGCCTCGAGTATCTCCGACATCAGGTTTGCAGCCGCAGGTGAATTTTGCAGTGGCGAACGTACTCACACTGCAGCCCCGCAGGAAGGCAGCCCGACGAGGGAGAGGTACTCGAATACGGTGTCGGTACCAAGATGCGGCCGGCCTGGGTTTGCCCGGACGCATGCTCGCACTGGCTCATCAGTTCTCCGCGCACAACTTTCATGTGGTTGGCACGCTCGAGACTCGGTTGTGTCGTAACGGTTGGACAGCAGCAGGAGATTTTCTTGTCATTACCGCAGCAGCCGAATCCAAGGGGAAAGCAGGAGTGGCCCTATGGATTAACACACAACATGAGTACGCATGTGGGCACACGCTGGCGCGCCGTCACGTACGTGTCATCAGTTTCTCGTCTCGGCATTTGTTGGTAGCCATACGTGCGCCGCACATGTGTTTGGACGTGCTCGTCGGCCATGCTCCTCACTCTCGCCGTCCTCCTGCTGAAGTCGAAGCATGGTGGGCTCATGTGACGTCAGTGCTACGTGGGCGAACCCAGCCGGCCCCCCTGTACTGTCTATTGGATGCGAATGCGACTTTGGGATCACAGGTGTCAGAACATGTCGGTGACGTGGCGGCCGAGGTTGAAAATGCCAATGGACAGTGCTTTCACAAGTTCCTGCGTGACTCGGACCAGTGTGCGTTGTCTACGTTTCTGCCGTCATACTCTGGGATCCATGGGACCTGGTTACCACCTGGGGCTCAGGGCCAAAACCCGCAGCGACGTATCGACTACATTACGATCCCTACGGGCCAACTATCCAGCGTCATTCGTCAAGGAGTCGATATCGAGATCGAGCTAGCGATGCGATGTGACGACCACTTTGTGGTAACTGCTGATGTGTACGTGTGCCGTGCCGATCAGTATGAGCCAGCCGTCACATGGACACGCTCCCGACACGACGAGGCTAAGTATGCTGATCCCGAGTGTCGTGCTGCGTTTGAAGATGCCCTCCGTATGGTGCCCTCGCCGACGTTCACAACACACCCAGACGATCATGCCGCATATCTCAACAGGCATATCTTGGAGGCCGCTGCTCTCGCATTTCCGCCCAAAAGGTCCGACAGTGGCCGTGAGCCCCGTCGCAGTTGGATTTCCCAGGGATCCCTCGACCTCATGGATCAGCGCACGGCTGGGAGACGTGCGCTTCGGGCCCTACGGGCTCAGCTACCCAGGCTTCTACTGGCGTGTGTATTTGTGGCGTGGGCCTCGGACGGGGCCATGGATGGCGAATGGTTCTGTCACCGAACACGTCGTTTCCGACATAGTGAACGTGACGGGCCGTCGCACCATCCACTCTTGCAGACATGTCGTCGGATCGCGGATGCCGCTGACCAGGTTCTTGATGCTACCAAGGTTTTTGCGACGCCTCTACGAACACCACAAGGCAAGCTGACCTACCCACCGTTTACCCAGGACCACATCGTCGGCTTGCGATACCTAGGACGGCTGCCCACTGCGCATGAGCTAGCCGACGCCCCACGTGGTTTTCGGTTTCAGCTGCCCAACGTTCTCAACTTTTACCTGGGATGGTTTGGTTTTTTCTGGGCTGCCAGTATGGTGTTTCTTCGGGCCGCTACATACGTGATCCAACAGTCCACTGGCCAGGATTCAGCGTGGCATTGTGCCAACATTGCCCAGGGGGTCCGAAATGCTTGGGATCGACGGCAGTTCGCTGAAGCCTATGCCGCCTTGCGACGGATCGGGGCTGGGTCCAAGCGACGACGAATCGAGCGAGTGTTGCCCGCATTGCAAGATCTGACTGGCCAAGCCGTGGTATCCGAGATACAAGTTGCGAGGCGTTGGCAGCAACACTTTGCTAGTCTCGAGCTTGCGGCTACGATCTCGGTCGAGGACGTGCCGACATTCGCAGGATACTTCGGGCGCGCACCCTATGCGCGTATGTCGACCGAGCCTGTCAGTCTTGCTTCGATCCCCACCCTAGCTGAATTCCAATGGTCGTGTCGGCAGACACGCAGGTCGGCACCAGGATGTGACGGTATTTCAGGCGGCCTCATGAGGGCCCATCCGACCGCTATCGCGGAGTATTACTACCCTCTACAGCTGAAGTCTACCCTTACACTAATGGAGCCCATTCACTGGAAAGGAGGTTTTTATCGGGACCTCATCAAGTCCGGCCAGGCTGATCCGACACAGTGCAGCAGCTCCAGGTCCATCCTTGTCTCTTCCCAGGTGGGCAAGGCAGCCCGACGTTGTCTACGGTCCCGACTTTTGCCCCACTTGGCATACGAGGCGGGTGAGACCCAGTTTGGAGGGCTTCCAGGACGAGGTACCACCCACGCGTCCCTGGTGCTCCGCGTTTCGCAGTCCCTGGCCAAACTCCGGAAGATGTCGTTCGGGGCCCTATTTTTAGACGTCGTTCAGGCCTTTTACAGGGCCATTCGGGAGCTCGTGGTGCGTGCCCACCGCGAAACCGACCTCGACGACCTTACTGTGGCTACCCTGGTGCGCGCCGCTGGTTTACCCCCGGCCGCCATGCAACAGCTTACCGACCGATTGCGACAGCGTGCAGCAAACCTGTCAGCTTCCGACGTCGATCCCCACACCGTTGCCCAGGTCGAGCAGTGTTACCAGGCACCCTGGTTTATTTATGAGGGCTCTGGCCGGGTCTCGTTACCTCAGCGGTCTTTCTTTCCAGGCCAGCCACTTGCGGATGTCCTCTTCGAGATTCAGATGGCCGACTGCATGCAGGACGTACGAGCACGCATGCTTGACGAGGGCACGCCGTACATGCTACCACGCGCAGAGCAGAGATCCATCACCGCGCTCGTTAATGACGGTACAGGCCCCGACCTCCCAGCTGACCTCCCCCTCGTTGACATTTCATATGCCGACGATGGCACAGTCGTGCTCATACTGCCTGCCGAACAGATGTATGATGCGCTCAGTCAGGTGCTGGTTATAGTATCAGAGGCCTTTGCGCGCCGTGGACACATCCTCAATATTGGGCCGTCTAAGACTGCCGCGCTGATCAAATGGCGCGGGCCAGGCACCAAGAACGCACGACATGCAGCATGGCACGTGCACGACGGACGGGTCACGGGACATTCGGATATACTAGGGCAGCTCAGTGTGCCGATCGTACACCACTACGTTCATCTAGGGTCGGTGATCGATGCGAACTCTGCGATGCTGCCCGAGATGCGTGACCGAGCTACCTCGACAGCCTCGTCGCTGCAGGTTCTTCGACGACGTGTCTTTTCGACCGACGACCTAGCACTACACCACCGACTTGTGCTAGCCGACAGTCTGGTCATGTCAGGGCGACTGTACAATGCAGGGGCGTGGGGAGTGCTAACGACCTCGGAGGCCAAGCTGGCCCATCTGCAAACCATGAAGGTATACCGAGCCGCGGCTCGAGTCCGCTTCCAGGAACATGA